TATTATTCTTACGTTGAGAATGTTTAATTCCAGTTAATAGACAGAAAGACAAGTCACTAACATAAGCAACAGCTCCTCAATGGATCAGTTCCAAAAAAATTCCATTATATTATTTCAATGCAATATGCTTTATGCTTAGTTTGTTCTGTACAGGAAAAAAAGAAGTCTGTTGAATTTACTGTAAAGAAATTATTTTCACTCAGTAATTGATTCATCAAATTTGTCTGCAATTCATCGACGTAAGTTATCACAAAAATTCTTCAACGTCTTTTTAATTAATCTGCATGCTCGAACGAGATCTGAAATATAAATGTTCAGAATTTAGAATAGGTAAAGACTTTTGTAGGAATGAAAAGAATTTCTGATTGCATTTTTAAGAGAGGATGAAAAGTTTTGATAATTGAATTGTAAGGCTATTTGAAACTTTTAAGATATTCTGTGTATAGAAAATGTTAAATTGGCTTTGGGAATGGATAAAATTTTTGACCTAATTTTCAGATGACTTTAATTTCGTTTGATTCTTAACAAGACAAATTAAATTACATTTAAATGTCCCAGAAGCTATAGTTCAAGTTGTTATGGAATTCTGACTTATATCAATTTAAAGGTAGTCAAAACAGATTAATGTAATTAATTGAAGATAAAAGTCAAATTTACTGACCTAAAATCAGGATTTAGAACTCAAAAACATCAAGATTCAGTAAATGTCTTTGCTTATCTGCTGCTGATGTTGCTAATTGTTCCACAGATTCTTTATTGAACGATTGAGAAAATCAGTTCATTTATATCGACAACGCTAAATCTAGTAAATATTGGAATACTTCTTAATGCTGTCTGTATGAAAGCATTGACAATTTCTGTCATTTTCAGTATTATGATGTCGTAACGGAATGAAATCTAGAGTATTGAGTTTTCCAATAGGGTAATTCTGCAACTGATTCATAGTTCTGAGTTATTTTGGCAAAGTTTAGTCTACCTTAGATGTATGCAATCACCAAGATATCTAGTTCACTATCCAAATCTACCTTAAACCACCTTAAACAGTCAGATGAACTTTAAACTTTAAGGACCGTTGTTTTAAACAATTTTATAGCGTACCTCAACAGCAACTCATATGAATAAATTCCCTTAAACTTATCGATCGCAATAAAAAAGTAATAGCTTTAACATCCTGCATGAATGATGACATCTTTATTTGATTTTCTCCCTCATTCTTAAATTTATGTCATTCTCAAGAAATTAATTTTATCGACATTCCATTAAACGTAGAAAAAAAAGCTTTTGTGCAATTCCAAGCTGAGTTAGGTTGAGCAAATATATCATTGTGAAATGTAATATAAAAAAAGCTCAAGTCACAATTTTTCAATATCCTTATCCTTTCATTCAGCTTTAATGCAATCTCATTCCGAAGATATTGTTCCGATAAAAAAGGAAGCTAAAAAACATTGCAAATATTCCTTTTTCTCTAGTTCCATCTTAGATCGATGGATACACCTACATCACTCATGAACTGTAAAAAAAAACTGAAATGAATTGAAAAATTGTTGACGAAAATTTTTGCATGAATGGAAAGGTCTTGTTGAACGTAAATGAATGTTTTCTTCTTCTTCTTCCACATAAATTCCTTATTTCTTCAATTGCTTACAACACGAACGCTTCAATGAGCGATTTCAGGTAGATGTTCAGTCACAAAAATAAATTTTCCTTCCTTTTCTTTCCCCATTTTCTTGTGATTCTCTATAAGATTTTTATCGATACACTGTGTGTATAAAAATATATATTGAGGAAAATTTTTCACTTAGAAAAATTCATTCATCTGATGTACTGTATGTGTCCCATATATATTCAGTGAAACAGTAGTTTATAGTAAATTGGGTAACATTTTTTTGTTTCAGGGTGGGAGTTCATAGCTTACACTATATGTGCCTTTGAAAAAGTCCTTTTCATGTAGCTATTTTTAAGGTTTGGGATTTTTTTGTGATTTATTTTGTCTTGTTGACTTTTTGTTACACTTTTGAATAATTTGAGATATTGGATGTATCACAAGTACTGTGGTGTTTGAATTAAGTAAAACCTGGAGTTTCTACGTCAAACTGTTAACCGAAAGGTTAAGTCTATTCCAACATGATTGGACATCATCCTATAACTCTATGTAAATCCATATTATATGAGGTTGTAGGTTCGATTCTCACCAGAAATCAATCAGTTTAATCGTCTTAAAACAAGCAAAATTCATAAACTTATTTTTTATTTAGAGATAAAATACAAAAGGCAAGACTCTGAGTATTGGATCATAGCAAAATATAAACACTTCTCGCTAAGCGTTACAAAACATACGAACGAGCCCAAATTAAAACTCAAACAAATCGTTAGGAAAACTTCATCAACCCTAAGAACTGCAATCTAATGAATTATTTTCAGTTTCAATTAAGGATCCTTAATTAAATAGATCATGAAAAATTCTGTTGCTTCCTTTTGCTAATAATAAGGTGTTTCCTAGAAGGTTTAACCACGAATTAATATTAATAAGCTGATGCTATTTCAATCAATTTTTAATTACTCATCATCTTTTATGCTCCTAAGCTAATAATCCACCTTATTAATTATAAAATCTTCCATTCTAAATGAACTTACAGCAAAACGTAAAAGAATTTCTAAAATTATATCAAAGCACCTTAAAACAATGGCTAGAATTCATTTACAGCTCTACAAAGAGCGCTATCTACATCTAGATCACTGTCCGATAACAATTTTGCAACTTGTTTATTTCTGAAAACCTTTTCTACTCAACTGAACTTACTAAAATGCAGTGTAATATACGTACATTTAGTTATACATGCTTGCCTGCCTGCTTGCTGCTGTTACTCTTACTTTCCCTTCAAATTTATATATGGAACATTTTTTTTTGTATTCATAGCGAAGAATTTCAATGAAGAATAAATCAGAAATCTACAGGAAAAAAAGGAAATGAACAAGCAAAGTATGAACATGAGTTTTCATTTTGGCATTTTAATGCCTTTGAACTCTCGTCTTCTCCGGTGTATGTATTTATGGTATGTATGGTGGTGGGGTTAAAAAGTAAAGGGGAGGTGAGCAGCTCAATCAATAATGCTTGTAAAACAATGCAAAGGAAGGAAGGAAGAGAAAGCATAAAAGGATGAGAAGAATGAAAAGAAGAAAAAAATGAAAAGGAAGGCGAAAGAAATTGTAAAATTTGGAATTGTGCCACACAACAGAAGCGCTCGCTTAAAAAATATTGCTTTGTTAAAGAAATTATTTTTTTCCATACACAATTTATACTGTTGAGGGTGTCTTCGGTTTTAAATTTTTAACGGTTTTTGAAGATTTCAAATTAGAGAGGTATAATTTTTACAGGTTGCTGGTTTATATAATTTTAAATTATCATTTCCTGAATTATGAAGACTCAATGTGAATGCAGATCTATTAATAAGCCAAAAATACGACGGCACCGACATAATGCACAGCACCTTATCTCTAAACAATGTCAAGTTACTTCTTTTTCACGATTTAACCTTCTAGTTCAATATAATTGTCTTTAAGAAGCTCTTGTTCATGTCTATAGAGGGCCAATCTTAGTTTTTAATATATATAAAATTTATTAAGTATCAAAATTAACGATGTCTCCACTCCTGAATTAGAAAACGACAAGTTTCAAATATTCACAAAAGAAATGATTTATTCTAAACAATAGGCCCCCATTATCATGATCCATTTGCACACAAAAGCTCCCATTCTTTCTGATGTATAAATAAAACTATAATAATGAATCGTAAAATTATTAAAATGTCAGTTTGTTACGACTTTGAAAGGCAAAAGCAACCAGAAATGAATTTTCTTTCTTTTATGACAGCTAAAACAATTTTCCATATTTACTTCTGTGAAACGAATGGTTGAATAAAAAGAAAATGAGAATGTTTTCAAGGCAAAGTGTAATTTTACGTGAGAGAATGTTTCTCAATTTCTCAGTGTGCTAACGTAACTTTTACGTATCTCTCGATACTTCCTTACTCATTGCTTATCAATCAATATGACTCTCTGTTACGTACGGAGATACGTTCTACATCCAAAAACATTATCTCTAACAGAATTGACACTTATTCCATCACAGAACGTGCAGCAAAAAGTAAAAGCAAGCAAAAGAAATCGGCTCATACATTCAACATTCAACGAAAATGGCATGTCACATGTCTATATAGAACATTTAATCTCACTTTTTTCCTGTAAATTGAATCTTTCAGCTAGGCTTTTCGAAGTAAATTGTGAGTGTCATTCGAATCGAAAATTGACACCATGTATACTTTTCCTTTTTTTCCGTCATTCTTTGCCTTTTTTTTAGTCCTTATATGCTATTTTTTTGCTCTCCTTTTTCTGCTCTATGTCGGTAAAAATTGAATTAATGTTGATTGAAAGTGAGCATGACACAGCAACATTTTGGGTGAAAGGATATATATTATTTTTTTTTGAAAAAGGATCCGATAAAATTCTTATTGGTTGTTAATGCTCAATTGTGGCTTATAATATTTTATTGGCTTTATAGTAGTTTTCCTCTTAAATGTTATTCTTATAGGTTTGAATTATTGACTTTATGGGCAAATTGCATGATTTTCATAAATTCATTTGCTTTACAAATTGCATAATTTAAAGGCGCTAATAGGTCTGAATACTTATAGTCAAAATAATTATGTCACGTTTACTATCCAATAAATATTTACTTTATCAACTGCTTAATATTGGGGAAATATTGTTTGGGAAACACCTTTTCGGACATTTCCGAATGAGCCATGCCATTGACATTGTTAACAAGCAATTCCATAAAATTTGTACGCAATTTTTAATTGCACTTGTAGTAAGTGAAAGTTAACGAAGAATATTACATCATTGGCAGCACAACAATACCACCATAAGTGCAAAAAGATACGTACAAGAAAAAAATACACAGCATACGGTTTGTTGGTTACTCGGTCAGTATGCTGTATAAGCTCATTGCGAACACACAGGTGCAATAACTTGGAATATACTTTTTTTCATATTGCATTTTCATTGGATTAACTTTCGACAATGAATTATTTCGAATTATACTGTCTTGTATTGTCATTAATAACATTCGAAGCATATGCATTTCCACAAGATCTTAGGGAAGTTGCTCGGGCTGTGAAGGAAACAGAACATAATTACTATCACAGTGAGGTAAGTGGATATTGTGTAATTAAAGCTTACACTGCTTCGATCGTGTTGTCGATGTTTGCAAACAGGCTTGGCAACTGCTTTGTGTTAATTTGTGCTATGCTGAAGAAATCGATTGTTTACATATATTGCGCAGTGTGAAATTTTTAGATTTTTGAATGCAAACAAAAAGTTTCGTAGTTTCATACCCCTTAAAATTTAATTTTACTTTAAAAATGTAGCGGTGTAATGGCATCAGTGACCTAAATGGTAGAGCGTTGGCCTTACGTGCCAAAGGTTCTGGGTTCAATCCCAGGCCATGTCTAATTTTCGCAGCTCTTTTTCCATTTCACCGTTCTAGTTACGAAGCTCGGTTTGTGTGTTGGGTGTAGTATTGATGTCTTTGGCAATATGCCTCCTTTGCTAGGTATACAAGGATATACTAGCATCTGGATGACTTCCTAACGGCATCTTGCGCACACGGATTGTGTCTTTGCAATGTACAGAGCTTGCAAGTGGTTCGGATCCCACTATAAACTGTAGGTCTAAAGGGTGTGGTACAATAGATTCTTTTCTAATTTGATTACACATTATATATATATATATAAAAATGTAAATCAATTAAATTCTGTTCCAATTCTGAAAGATTATAAAAAAATTTTAACTTGAAGAAAAGACACAAATCAAATTAAAAGATGTCTTTAAACTATAAAATTACCTCAGAAAACTTTAAAACTTCTGCAAATATATTGTAACCTACAATTAGACTTTCAAAATCATGATATTTTCACAACAATTTCATAGATAGCAGTGACACATCCTTCCTTTAAAAGCAATAATTTTTAAATGTCATTCCAGGCACCTGACTTAATTCCATTTGACAATCCAAACCACAAAGATAACGCAATAGAGGAAGTCGAAGGCTACGGATCGAGGATTTATTCCACTTACGATGGATTACACAAGAAAACCTCTGATGTATTTCAGGTAATATTCCCCGATTGCAAAAAAAAAGGCGATGATAAAATTTATTGACATCTCACAATGTTTTGTCCATTAATTATTGTAGCCAAAGGCAGTTGTTGATGGCATTAAATCCGATTCAGAGATATTCGGAAATACAGGTGATCAGTTAAAACCACTCAGTGACGTCGTTGTGTCAGCAATGTCAGTCGTTTCTAACGTTGTTAATAAAATTGTTGATGTAAGCATAAATACTTAATTGTTGTTTATCAATTTGACATGCTGAATATCTTCCTTATTTTTTTTTTATTTCCTCATCAGGCTCCTGGCAACATTTTCGCATATTTATCAAAATCATTAAATACTGGACTGAATAGCATTGGTGGGAAACTCGTTGGACTACAATAACAACGTGATTTGTAACAGATAGAAAAATTGAGTGACTAGCTCTTAATTTATAAAAAAATTATTGTGTTTAATTATCTTTAGTTTGTAGAAGAAAAGACGCTCGTACGAGGTTAGTGACACAAGGTTAAATAATTCATTTATATTGTATTGATGTGGCAGACGAGAACTCAATTGGTTAAATGCAATGCCTAATTTATGCGTTAATATTGTGGGGACTTGAAAAAAAAAATACAACATAGAACAAATGATTTATGTAGATTTAAACAATTACTTAAAGCACTGCCAAAATTGTATATTTACGAATCTAAAATAGTAATGTTAATTATTCAATTTTCTCGGTTGACACTCACAGCTTATGTATATAGGCATGTTTTGATAACACCAAAAAAAAATCATAATATAAATTGTTGGTTCTATATCTCTGTCATAGTATCATAATTGATGTGTAAATAAATTAATTTAGGTTATACAATTTTTGTATGTTGGATATGTGAATATATTGCATATGTTATTCTTTACCTTTCGGATATTATGATACTCCAAAATTGAGTTATGTGTATTTTTGTACTTCAGCTACAATTTAAAACTAGGAAATTGATAATTTCAATGATTTTTTAATGGTAATGATTTTAAATTAATTTTGTGAAAATAATAAAATAACGAAAATTGGATTTGAATCATAAATTATTTTTATTTTTCCATCAAAAAATAATCAACATAATAATTTTCATTTCTTTGTAGAGTTCTTCAACAAAAAAAAAGAAGAAAATCTCTCTTTTTTTGTAAATTGAATTGCAATAAAATTGAAGTTATGATACATCGATCTATTAATCATGCGGAAAATGACCGTTTTAGTTTCTTCGAGTCATGACTAGCAATGCTTTAGGTTGTCAATTTCTAAAGTAGAACAACTTTTGATACAGCAAAGATTGATTTTATTAAAAGAGATTTGAGAGTCTAGACATCTTAGAAGTTATGATGCATAACCGAGTATAGAGTGGATGGTTTCGCACGTCTAATGAAAATTAATGAAGTTTCAGATTGGAAATTGTAAACTTTTTGATTATGGCAAGGAATATCGAAGACATGTCTTTAAAATCCGGTTGTGAAAAGAATGAAAAGTTTAATTTTGAGATCTAAAATTGTCAATTAAACTGTTGTGGTCATAACCTAAAAGTTCAGATCTCTAGCCTCTTTAGTAAGCTTTACACAACATACTTTAGAAATACAGCAAATCCAATCGGTCTATTTTTAACAACAAATCATCTATAACATCTTTAAGGGTCGTTCATAAGTGACATCTACTTAAAAAGAAAGTTTTGACTTGTGAGTTGATTTTCAAGCCCAATTTACACTCGTTTTTGGAATGTAGGTTGTTAAAAACTCCATCCAGCAACAGATTGTTGAACGTCATTTATGATCGACTCCCTAAAATCTAAACATTTAGCTACTAAACATAATTCTTCAAATTTTAAATCTATTCTAACAAAATTTTCATCATTTTCAATGAAAATCAATCGGAATGTTTTCAATTATCATCAATAAGAATTCTTCTCTCTTTGCAGCATAATGTTGTAGTGTATATGAGAAAAAAAATACATTTTCAGACTAATGAACACTAGAGATGATCAAAATATCATTATGTTAGATGCTTTTTTTTCCCTCTTATGCGGAAGTTATTAATATATTGCGTACATACTGCAAAGCACGTAATGCACTCACATCTCAAATTTAACTTAACAACTAATTTTCTTGAATTTTTTTTTTTGACCATTTAAACATATTTAATACCTACTTATGCAGTTTTCTTTAATTAAAATTACAGATTATATCATTGGCACAAATTTCATTATTATCAGGAAGAATGAAATCAGTATGTTGCGTAGATAAGCACAATACATGAACAGACAGAAGAAGAGGAGAGAGTAGGGACAGTAAAATAAAGAATAAAAAGAACATGAAAGTGGATGAAAATTTTCTTTGGGCACACAAATACGTCATTAAAGTTAATTTAATGGCGAGTCTAATCGTCAAGATATGATTGTCGTAGTCCTGAGGAGTCAATTGTTGGTGAATATGACTTGTACGTGTCAGATTTCCTCTTATGTTTTATCGTACAGAACAGCAACATGCTGATTATCAAACCAAATAGCTGAAATAAATGAGGAAAGAACGGAAATTAGATTTTTTTTTTCTTTTGCGTATAAAATGTGTTTTTATGTAATTTTTCGGCTGGTTGGTAATTCTAGCGTTTGATAGATAAAGTTATCTGTGAGAATATTTCCTAATTACTTCTTGTTGATCCTTAATTAAGTTAAGGAAACTTTTAAGAACGAATTTCTGTGTTTCGCATGCTTTTGGGATTGTTTTCCTGTGTCTTATAAATGCAAGGCTAATCCTACTAATTTTCAAAAGTCCGCTGGATTTTCAAAAAATTCAAGATTCTAGATTTCTTAAGCTTTAATCACAATCAACACATTTTAAACGCAAACAAGAACAAGAACTAACCTGGAAGAATGCTATAACAATCGCCACAATTCCCACAACGTGCAATTTCTGTATTAAAAGCATTTGAATGGCTTTTGAACAGCCTTGACTCCACCACAATTCTGGTCTTTGTTTTCTAGAGGAAAGAGCAAAATATTCAAAAACCGCATTTACATCAATCAAATTTAATTGAATCAATTTTCAACTCACTTTCGGCAATCATCATCGACATCATATCCCGATCCCTCAAAAAGTTCTGGTGATAATGTGTGACGCGTACGACAGCATGATTTTGGTACCCATTTCTCTCTTTCCCAGTGCTCGATATGATACCAATCCTCATATGAATTAACACCGCAGCATTGCAGTTCCATTTGCATTCGATCCCATATTGATGAAACTGATGGTGAGAACATACCGCCACGATCTGTTGCATTGTAGTGTTTCACAATACCGTCTTTAATATCCATGGTAACTGCACGAGCAATGCCACTACGAAAAACGAACACTAAGGCACCGACAATGAATTCACTCAAAAATAGAACAATAATGAGTGAGAAGTACTAAAAAAATGGGGAGATTAAGAAAGATAAAGAGAATTAACAACGAAAAGCCTCAAATTAACCTCAAGAGGTTGAATGACATGACATACAATTATCAAGCAGCATCGTGACTCGAAGAATGAACCGCAACAGCCAAAAAATGAGATTACGATGCTTAGACCACCGATAAGAATGAAGAGAGAATCAGCCGATAATCCCAAATGACTTGGATATAGAGTCGCATAGCCCTGATATGATAAATGAAGCCATAATCCCATTCCTAGGAAAATACCTCCGCATAGCTACAAAAGAGATAAAAGAGAGAGACAAAAAAATTATGGTAAAATAAATGAAATTATTGTTTACACATGTTTATTATTATTATTTAAGAAGAATTTCAATTTACTGTACATGAGTAATTTGCGTGTAGTCTTCTTTTGTGTCCACTTGGGAGAGTGAGAGATGAGGCAACTTTCTATACAGAAAGTAAAATTATTTCCACAAAATTTAGTATTTATGTGGATAAATAAATTGTAATGAGATTTAAGCCTTCTGCACGAAAAATGATCATGAAATTGCCTCATTGAAATGAAATGTGCATAATTGCGAACATAAAATAGAAAATTTTTATTCTGCTCAATTAATCGTCAGCTGAGCAATAAAATTTTTGGCGCTGTGGCGCATCTATTTTTATTGTGATTCTTTGTGGAATTTTAAAAAAGTTCAACGATTTTTTAAAAAATTTAAATTTAAAACCATTCAAAGATTTCATTTTATTTCAAACATTTATAAGGTATTGATAGGGAAAAAAATATCAACCAGGGTTGCGATAAAGGCACCTGTGCACATGTGAGAACCATACAATTCCTTGATAATTTGTAAGGTTTTATTAGAATTTCTATGGTATTGTTATAAAAACCTTATAAATTATCAAGGAACTGAACGGTTCTCACCTGAACATAGGTGCTTGTATCCCAACCCTGATATCAACAAAATAAGAAACCTTGACAAATCCTTCAAAAAAAGAATAATAAACTACTTAAGCAACCTCTAACCACAAAAGAACACATGTGCATATGCAATAAATTTGCTGAAACAAGAATACAAAACACTAAAATCTTGAAATGTCACAAGGGGCCGTTCACTTATTACGTTTACACTTTAGGGGGAGGGGGGGGGGTTGAAAAATTGTAACAAAATGTAACATAGGGGGGGTCAAGAAGTATGTAATGTTCTAATTGTCGTCTGTCTTTAAAAAAAAATTCACGAAAAAAATTTGTTTACAAATTCACACCAAAAACATTTTTTTAAATTTTCCACCTTTTTAATCATTCATGAATGTCCAGATCTCTTTTGATAGCTAAGCAATACATAGTTTTTGTTATATAAAGTAACAAATCAATAGAAAACTGGTTTACAATACTTTAAAATACAATCATAATTTGTGGAAATTTTCAAAATTAAATCAATCATAAGTTTAAAAGTAAATCTCTCTAAATCTGTCATTCATATGATGATTAATATGATCCCATCATTGTGATATTTACAAAGTTGATTGAATTTTCCAAAATTCGATCGGGCATAATATTTTTCATGACATTTTTGAATTTTCTTCAAAAAAAACAAATTTTTGCTTTATATCACAATCCAATAATTCATGAGAATACTAATAGTATCAATCAAAACATGACAAAAATACAAAAGAAATTTAACCTTCTTTTTAGAATAAAAAATTATCAAAGTAAAATAAATTATGAACGTTCAGGGGGGGGGGGGGGGGGGGGGGGTTGTGAGTTGTAAGAAAAAAGTCGTTTTTTTGCGTAACGTAATAAGTAAACGGCCCCCAAAGAACAAGATTTTTGCATTTAAAAGCAGCAAAATGATTCACTCTACGAAAAATATAAGTCAAAAGATGCTCCAATAAGGTGTGATTACAATCTGATTACTAAATACATATAAATCTAAATGAAAGGATTGTATTTTTAATTACTTTAGAAGCAAATTATCTATTCACTCTAATTAGATTTTTTTTTCGTGCTTATTTGATTAAAGTTAATAACAAAACACAGTCAGAAAATACTTAATGATTCGGCATTAAATCGAATAAAATGAAAACAACAATTTCGTTAATCTCGAAAATCAAAATCAATGAAAAGCTGCAAATTGCTTTGACAAAGTTAAAATCACTCCTAAAAAGTAATTTTCGCTTTCGTTTCCGTAAACATGCCTTGACAATTTGTCTTCTATTCATCTTCGTAAACAGCATCCACCACACGCTAGAGACGGTCGTGTTCAATTTAATTACAACAAGCAATTATGTGATTTTCTTTTTCTTTTCTCACTTCCGTTATTTTGCACGCATTTTCCTCTCGTTAGTTTTTGGTTTTATCTCACAATTGCTTGTCTATAAATGATTTTTTTGGGAGTCATTTGGAGCATCCAAACTTAAATATTCATTTAACTAAACATGAGATCAACTCACCATGACTAAAACATTTAGACAGCAAAATGTTCGTCTTATACTGTAAATTAAATTAAGAGAATCAATAAAAGCCAAGAGAATCTCGGAAAGAAAAAGTAGACTTTCCGCATCATCAATCTCATCCACTCACCAAGTATATCCGCTGCTGCCCATTTTTCTTCTTTCAATTCAGAAAATTCCCTATCGTCAGCTCTGCAAACACACAAAAAAAATTGTATTTAAGATTAAATGTTGTGTGATGTATGTGGGTCGTGGCGCATTTTTATGGTATTAAAAAATAATTGAAAGTGCTCATAATGGAAGTAATTGACATTTTTTCATGAAAATCGCGTAGATGGGAAAATTACATTGTAATCGACGCCTTGAGAATTTTCTTTTCTTGGATATTTTTGCTTTACAGGCATTACAGTCAGTCAACAGAATGAAAATGATCAAATTTCAAATAATGTACAAAATTTTTGTGCCTTTTTGATTTCTCACTTGAAATTTTATTTCGCAAATTTTGAATTCAATTTTTGTGCAATCTCTGGAGTGACGGCTTTAATCCGTTGAAAAATATGGCAAGAAGGTGATCAATCATAGATAATTCTGAATTTCCAATGAAAAAACAGCAGTTTTTGAAATTTTGCAAACTTTTGCTCCAAGACATAACAATAAATAAATTAACGGTTGATTTTCCCCTATTTCTTGCGTTTTTCGAGCAATTTGTCAATCAATGACCAAATCATCCAATAAAACTCTTCGTTCCTTAACAACCAAGTCAATAATTTGCTACATAAGTCATTCAGGATCCACAAAACATTTTTCTGCCCCAAAAAGCAACCGACATCCCCTCAGAATAAGACCAAAATCCCACAGATCTCTATAAAATGCAATAAAAAGTGGAGAAATAATATTTTTTGCAATGTAGAGATAATGGAAAAAGCATAAATTTTCGTATTTTCCATTGCTATAAATTTTATATTTCATGTCTTCCGATATTCCCTTCTATTGTACTTGTGTGCGGAAAAGAATCAACAAATCTTGATGCTTTATTTTATATTTTTTTATTATTTTTTCACATATAAAATTCATATCACATGTATTAAGCTATAGCAATTGAAAGGGAAGTGAATATTTATTTAGCTAGTTCTCGTTCAGTCTATTCAATTGGACAGTACTTATAAATAATAGGGAAAAAGAAAATTTCTATTTAATATCATAATAATCTATGCATGTATAATGAAAAGATCTCAACTTGAATGGTGTCGTAAGTTGATTGAACATGACATGACGTTGAAGAAAATTTAGATCAAAATTTTTTATATTGATTATTTTCCACTCTCTATGATTTTGAACTTGAATTTAGAGGTTGCGATTGGCATGAACTTGATCGGGATTTTTTGATGTATGCAAATTTTTCAGAATTATTTATAAGTCACGCATGTTTCTATAGTAATCAATCAATATGCTTTATTTTACAGAGAAAAAATCGTGTAAGCTATAAATATTGATGAAATATTGAATATGAAGCTCGAATTCTATGACATGTTGGTTTTTAAAAGAAGTGAATATTTTTTGGTTTCATAAAATATTAAAAACTTTATTAAAATTTAAGTTTTAAACCTCACAAATGTTTCTTTCCTAAAAACTAAGGTTGCGATACAAGTACCTGTGCACAGGTGAGAACCGTATAAGGGGACGTTCACTTATGACGTCCGAAAATAACGGTCATTTTTCAAAAAAGAACAATGGATTTCCTGGAATTTCTATTGTTTTTTCTTGCTGACCCCCCCCCCCCCCCCCCCCCCCCTGAACGTCATAAGTGAACAGCCCGTAAGTCAGTTAAGTTATAACCTAAAAAATCTATCAATCTAATCATTCAACTGAAGTAAAAGTAAAGTCGTCAATCACCATCAAAGTTCCACTCAATCGACATTAAATGAAAAATGATCGAAACCTTGGAACCTCAAAATAAACATCCATGAAATTGATTAAATACACATTGTTCAAAAGAATCAGATATACACTATTGTACACAAGTGAATGCGTATGTGAACCCTTTTATATCATTCACGATATCGGTCAATCAATGCTCAAATCTTTCAACCCTTTTTCATCTTGTTCCTCGTATTAATCACATTTATTTGAGTACTGCCCTTAAAGATATGTTATTGAAAAATGTACATTTGATAATATAAATTAAGTCGCATATCGCACGACATGACAAAACATTAAAGGTAGGAAAAATGTCATCGAGAGATTTTCAAAGTGATAAAAAAGAGTCACAGCTAACGGATGTTTTTATTAAAATAGAAATGATATTCTAACATCACAATCAAAAGCAATTTAGTTATCATGGATATGCCACTATGCCGCTTACTTTATTATCGCATTTCTGTCTCCCCCTAACCGTCTGTATTGTGTGAATTTTGTATAGGAGAGAAGAAAAAAAAATGTTTTTATGGACATTTTTGCAAGTGATTATTATTGTTATTACTGTGAATATTTTTCGTGCATATGGGTCATTATGAGTACTTGTGCACTTTGTCTGCTATTTAGCCAGATGTGTTTTGAGATTTTATTGCTGAGAATCAACATCCAGGTCATTAAAATATTGATATTCTAGGTAAAAACCATTAAATTTAAAGTCCAAACAAAAATTTCCATAAAACAACAAAATTAAGGCCTCAGTTTTCACATCAGTCACTAAAATCAACAAGTAATCGCTTCAAAAATTCTAAAAACATTCATTAGCAGTCCCCCTACTGAATAAGGCATTCCGTTACTTTGATTATTTTGCAAATTATTGTGTGTAAATATCTGATAAGTAGGCAAATCACATGCTGTCTGGAAAATCTATCTGTAATTTTTTAAAGAATAAGAAGCTGAGTTTACGTTCGAATAATTATTGTGAGAATTTGAACTCAGCTAGCTTTTTTTTTTTGTAAGAATCAATAACCATTGAAGCTATTTTACAGTGAAAAAATCATGTTCGTGATGGACTCTTCTTCCGATGATTTAATGCAGATTGTGAGTATTACGAATTAAGATTATCAATATAAGGTAATTAGATGAAGATGGAGGTAAGTTATGCATTATTACACTGTATATTTTGGATGGAATATGAATCTTTTGTTCGATTGATATGAATAATGTGTGAAAGTCCCAGCCTTTGAACTGGAGGCACTACGATTCAATTTGTAAAGAATCTATTGTACCATACCCTTTAGCATGGTGGGTGATTTAAATCAAAAATCAAAATCTTTTTGCAATGATTTTTTTAAAAGGGATTTTGATTTAAATCTTTTGTATGAAAGATTTTTTTTGGGATTTTAAAATCCCTCCATATAAAATTTTTGTATGCAATATCTCAAATTATTTTTCAAATCAACAGTTTTCAGTTGCAGTTCATCATAAGTAAGAATGCAGTTGAAACTTTTTTGGACAGAATCTTGCAATTGTCATACCAATCATATCTTTAATAAAGGTTACAGCAACCATCGCAACTTAATGATCAAATATGACTGAAAATCATGCTTTACACTTATCGGTCTGTTTCACTAAAGTGGATTATCCTCGAGTTCCGATTATCCACTTCAGTTTTTTGGAAATATCTCCAGGCGCTTAAGGTTATTAAGAGATCTAATGTGTGATCTAGCAAGAGTACTTTGCTACTTAAATTAACATATACTTAGAATTTTTATATCTTCATCAGTTTGAGAATTATAGCAAAAATCGAAGTTAATCTACTAGATTTGGCTAGAAAATTGAATAATTAATACTTCTTAACGAAAAGCAAAAGTTAAAAGTGTACAGAAATTTCAGGCATAGTTCACTCTATTATAATCCAAAATTAGAAAAACCACACCTCCCATAAAGTTTAAGATATTTGCAAAAAACTGAAGTGGATAATCCGAAATCGAGGATAATCCACTTGAGTGAAACAGGCCGTATATGATTAGATAAACATACTTTGCAGTCATTAGGTACTATGTGGAACCGGTCAGTTCCATAAAAAATTTTTGACTTCAAGAGGTGATTCCTTGATGAAAAAGCAACAAAAAATTTTTTTGTAGATGTAAAGGAACTAGGCAGTTTAAGTTCCTATTATTGCTTATGACTAATTAAACAAACGTAGATTACTTTGGTACTGTAATAAAAGACATTTAAGATTTTAAAAGCAATGAAAGCAGGTAGTTCCTCATATAGAGTAAGATCCAGGCTTGCTTGATGAAGTCAAGTTATTTAAATGTAAGCAGCAAGGCACAGAAGATTAAAAATCACGAATTCGATTTCGCGTAAGTCAAACAGCATGGAACCATTGGTTGCTGTAACCTTTATTAAAGATATGATTGGATCTAAAAGATCCAGTTGCAAGATTCTGTCCGAAAAAGTTTCAACTGCATTCTTACTTATGAGGAACTGCAACTGAAAACTGTTGATCTGAAAAATAATTTGAGATATTGCATACAAAAATTTTATATGGAGGGATTTTTAAATCCCAAAAAAAAATTTTCATACAAAAGATTTAAATCAAAATCCCAAAAAAAATCCCTGTGCAAAAATGATTTAAATCAAAATCCCTTTTTAAAATCATTTTTCATTGAGATTTAAATCAAAATCAAAAATAAATTCTGCGATTTTGATTAAATCGCAAAAAATCTCCCCACCCTACCCTTTAGACCTACAGTTTATAGTGGGATCCGAACCACTTGCAAGCTCTGCACATTGCAAAGACATGAGTACGTCATAAGACCTGATGTACCCTTCAATGTACCTAGTCACAATTCGTGTGCGCAAAATGCAGTAAGGAAGTTATCCAAATGCTAGTATATCCTTGTATACCTAGCAAAGGAGGCATATTCTGTGCTAAAGACCTCAATACTACACCCAACAGACGAACCAAGCTTCGTTACTAGAACGTCAAAAAATGACACACAAACAATCAGTTAAATTTGGATCATCACAGCCAGTAACAACCTAATTGTGTACGAGAACTCAGTAATCTCTTGGTTAAACTATAGTTGTGATCAGGGGCGTAGCCAGAAAATTTTTAAGGGGGGGGCCCATTTTCGAAAATTAAAAAAACCGTTATTTTGTATCCTTAAATCTATATTCATTCTTCATAAGTTTAAATATTTAATTCATTATTCATACATTAAATTTGATTTTTCGTGCTGATTTTGACATTTCTTTCATCACTTCCTCTA